CCTACTTGGAATGGTAATACACCGGGTGATCTGCCTGGTCCTTCCCTACCTGGAATAGTAATACACCAGGTAATCTACCTGGTCCTTCCCTACCTGGAATATTAATACACCGTGCGTCTACCTGGTCCTTCCCTACTTGGAATGGTAATACACCACGTGATCTACCTGGTCCTGATCTACCACCTGCTCTCCAGAATCAAACTCACGAAGCTTAGCTCTGTGATGACGATCATTCTTGGTCTTCATCCTGTCCTGCACTCTCTCTCTCCAAAGTGTTTTTTCACCAACTCAGTTCCTTCAGCAACATCCACATTACCTTGAAGCTTTTCCTGTAGGATTGATAAGGGATCACGAACTTTGTGGCCAAACAACAACTCAAATGGGAAGCATCCTATCGAGCTCTGGATTCCCTGTCGAGCTGCAAGTGGGAGGTAAATTCTCATCCTAATCTCTGTTGGAATTTTCCCAGGCAATTTTTAAAATCTGTTTCAGAGTCTGGTGCCATCTCTCCAACTCTCCTAGACTCAGTAGGTGATGTGGGCTTGAGTTTTTATGAAGAATTCTTTTGTCCCTGCAAAATTCCTTAAATACATGTGACTTAAAATTACTCTTATTGTCTGTCTGCACCACCCTCGGCAAACCAAATACTGACAAGAACTGTATTAGTCATGCAATCAATGTCTTGACTCTGATGTTCCCGATTGCAAAACCTTCCCGTAACTGAGCTGTTACACACATAAAGGTTATCAAATAAATATTCCCCAATTTTTTTCTGGGTAATGGGCCAACACAATCAAATACAACATGGGAAAAGGGTTCCTTAGGCATCACAAGTGGCCTTAGCGGAGATATAATGGGAAACTGGTTGAGTTTTCCAACCGTCTGAATAATAACACACTGGCTGTAATACATCACATCTTTTCTTCAACTGTGGCCTGAAGAAATACCTGAATCTTTTAGAATAGGGTATGTTAATACCCTGATGTCCCCCCACGGGTTCATCATGCATGAGCAACAGATATAACTTGCTCTCTGAACTCTTGGGGCAAAACCAACTTGCAAACTGCCTCTCAATTATCTGATGAGGGAGAATTGCGGGGTCTCTACTTCATCATCAAAAGCTGATCCTTGTAATAGAATCCAGTGGACAAGGTTTCACTTTCCCTCTCAGACTGAGCTAACTCATGGCATTCCTTTAATATAGAATCATCCCTCTGTATCTCACTCAAGGTGACTTTTTGTCCTCGGTCTGATGCACTGAAGGTAATGACAGCAGGGGCATCCACACCTTCTCCACACTCTATAATTAATGGTGGGTCCTCCACACTGTCTTCAGGACTGTCATCTACTTGGGCCATACAAGTTTTTCCTAAGTCCACCTCGGCATCTCCCTTTGGAGTGTCCACAGGGGTGGAGCCTCAATAACCATGAGAACCATACGGTTGCCCCTTAATATTCCCACCCCTAAGACCTAGTCACTGCACATGCAAGGTCTACAATATCATTCTCTCCTGCATTGGGCATAAGTACAAACGAGGATTTGTCAGCAGTATTGGCAATTGAGTAACTCTTCTTTTCTTTAAAGTCATTACCCGTATAAGATCCGTCTTGACACAACAGCTTGCCTGTAGACATGAAAGGGGTAAACGGTTTCAACCACCTAGGCTTTAACATATCCTTATTTACCACCTCGGAAGACTCTACCATTTTACATATCGTGGAAACAGTTGGTGTCTTCTCTGGGTACAACACCCAAGAATGGCTTACACCATGTGACGTCTTCTTGTAGTGAGTACAAAACCTTGAATATTTGGTGGTTCTTCCTACTGATTTAAATGGATCATCTTTTGGTGCCATAACATCATTTGATTTATTAACAGGTACCTTAGACACATTATTAGCAAATTTGTTTACACCGTTACAAACATGAGCATTATTATAGGGGTGATAGTTGTGAATTGGCCTGGTCTGGTTATGAGAATAAGATTTATTATAAGAATTATTACTATTAGGTTTAAAAGATAGTTTGCTAGCAACGTGATGGTCTTCAGCCATCTTAGATACAAGAGAAGTATCAGTGTCCTTTCGTTCAATCAAATACCGTGCCACCGGTTCTTACATATTACATATAAAACCTTCAATCAACAGTAAATTTTTAAGTGCCTCCCATGTATTGCTGAACGTATTCCGTTTTCAAAAAGTTGGGTTTGCCTTTCTGCAAACCAAGTTAAAGGCTGATTATGATTAGGGTTGAGGTTGTGGTTGACTGTCGGTGTGCCTCAGGAGTACTCTTAAAAGTGGCCAGTCTCTGTGGTGCAGTGGTAAGACACTCGCCTGGCGTTCCACGAGCGCTTTGTCATTGGTTCGTATCCTGGCCGGGGAGGATTTACTGGGCGCAAATCCTTAACTGTACCCTCTGTTTAACTCAACAGTAAAATGAGTACTTGGTTGTAACAACGATTCTTCGCGCGGGGATCGTATTCCAGGGACCTGCCCGAAACGCTACGTGTATTAGTGGCTGTACAAGAATGTAACAACTCTTGTATATATATCAAAAAAAAAGCTCTCAAAATATGCTCTTTGACTGACATAATTAAAACAATTTGCTCAGGATTATTAATATAAGTGTCCTGAGCTTTCCCCTCTAAATTTCCCCTAAATAATTTTTACCCAGTCATTATCAGGTCATTTCACGGACTTCGCTAACCTTTCAAAATATTTATTTTAGGGTCTTCCTAAGCAAACTCAAGCAAATCAAGTCTTTTCTCTATGGTTTGGAAGTCGAATCTGTATTATTTACTGTACCATTTGAGTTCCCTCTCCAACTGAATCTCTGCTATTCTAATCTGAGCCTCAGCTTGCCTAGCCTGACTCTCTGCTAATCATCAAATATCTTGTTTTTTTATGTAGCACATACCAACCAGTTCATAACCGTAGTGAAAAACACTGGTTAACAGTATAGTGCCCATACTTGTGTAGGTCAACAACACTGGTTAACAGTATAGTGCCCATACTTGTGTAGGTCAACAACACTGGTTAACAGTATAGTGCCCACACTTGTGTAGGTCAACAACACTGGTTAACAGTATAGTGCCCACACTTGTGTAGGTCAACAACACTGGTTAACAGTATAGTGCCCATACTTGTGTAGGTCAACAACACTGGTTAACAGTATAGTGCCCATACTTGTGTAGGTCAACAACACTGGTTAACAGTATAGTGCCCACACTTGTGTAGGTCAACAACACTGGTTAACAGTATAGTGCCCATACTTGTGTAGGTCAACAACACTGGTTAACAGTATAGTGCCCATACTTGTGTAGGTCAACAACACTGGTTAACAGTATAGTGCCCACACTTGTGTAGGTCAACAACACTGGTTAACAGTATAGTGCCCACACTTGTGTAGGTCAACAACACTGGTTAACAGTATAGTGCCCACACTTGTGTAGGTCAACAACACTGATTAACAGTATAGTGCCCACACTTGTGTAGGTCAACAACACTGGTTAACAGTATAGTGCCCATACTAGTGTAGGTCAACAACACTGGTTAACAGTATAGTGCCCATACTTGTGTAGGTCAACAACACTGGTTAACAGTATAGTGCCCATACTTGTGTAGGTCAACAACACTGGTTAACAGTATAGTGCCCATACTTGTGTAGGTCAACAACACTGGTTAAGGGAATAGTGCCAACAATGGTGAAAGTGAATAACTGTGTTTGATGGTATAGTGGCCACAATGGTGTAGGTGAGCAACACTGTTTAAAGACAGTGTCCACATTGGAGTAGATTAACAACACTAGTTAAGGGTATAGTTTCCAGTGTTGTAACTGAAAAACACTGGCTAAACTAGTTAAAGGAATAGTGTCCACAGTTGTGTAGATATACAACACTGTTTAAAGGTAAAGTGCCCACAATGGTGTAGGAGAACAACACAGGTGAAGGGTAAAGTGCCCACAATGGTGTAGGAGAACAACACAGGTGAAGGGTAAAGTGCCCACAATGGTGTAGGAGAACAACACAGGTGAAGGGTAAAGTGCCCACAATGGTGTAGGAGAACAACACAGGTGAAGGGTAAAGTGCCCACAATGGTGTAGGAGAACAACACAGGTGAAGGGTAAAGTGCCCACAATGGTGTAGGAGAACAACACAGGTGAAGGGTGAAGTGCCCACAATGGTGTAGGAGAACAACACAGGTGAAGGGTGAAGTGCCCACAATGGTGTAGGAGAACAACACAGGTGAAGGGTAAAGTGCCCACAATGGTGTAGGAGAACAACACAGGTGAAGGGTAAAGTGCCCACAATGGTGTAGGAGAACAACACAGGTGAAGGGTAAAGTTCCCACAATGGTGCAGGTGAACAACACAGGTGAAGGGTGAAGTGCCCACAATGGTGTAGGAGAACAACACAGGTGAAGGGTAAAGTGCCCACAATGGTGTAGGAGAACAACACAGGTGAAGGGTAAAGTGCCCACAATGGTGTAGGGGTAACCTGTCCTCTTAAAAAGAACGTCGCTTTTCGCTTATATGCGTTACAGCGAAAAGGTCAAAAATTTTCATACTTGAAAATGAAAACGACTCGCGAAAGTGACGTACTGTCCCGTTTTCTGTTTTGGGTCCTCTGGTGGGTTAGGCGAGGACACTTTAATTTGAGTGTTTTCTTGACGTTTGGAAACACTAGGAAGTTGAGTTGAAAGGCGGACAACACTGGTTAAAGGTACAGTGCCCACACTGGTGAAGGTGAACAACACTGGTTATGGGTACAGTGCCCACACTGGTGAAGGTGAACAACACTGGTCAAGGGTACAGTGCACACACTGGTGTAGTGAACAACACTGGTCAAGGGTACAGTGCCCACACTGGTGTAGTGAACAACACTGGTCAAGGGTACAGTGCCCACACTGGTGTAGTGAACAACACTGGTCAAGGGTACAGTGCCCACACTGGTGTAGTGAACAACACTGGTCAAGGGTACAGTGCCCTCCAAGGTACTCACCATTGAAGGTCTGTTTGGTGAACGAACTGGGCGTGTTACTCAGGTTGGCCACTATGGGGTCACTTTTGGTCATTGTCAAGCCCACCTGTCAATACAACTGCATATCAAGCCCACCTGTCAACACAACTGCATATCAAGCCCACCTGTCAACACAACTGCATATCAAGCCCACCTGTCAACACAACTGCATATCAAGCCCATCTGTCAACACAACTGTATATCAAGCCCACCTGTCAACACAACTGCATATTAAGCCCATCTGTCAACACAATTGCATGTCAAACCCACCTGTCAACACAACTGGATGTCAAGTCCACCTGTCAACAAAACTGCATGTCAAGCTCACCTAAAACCTCAACTGTATGTCAAGTCCACAATTCAACTCCACTGAATTTCAATCCCACCTGTCAATACAACTGTATGTCAAGCACACCTGTTAACACAACTGCATGTCAAGCCCACCTGTCAACAAAACTGCATGTTAACCCCATCTGTAACAGTAACTGTATGTTACAGTGACATACGTATGGCATTTCCACCTATCAACACATTTGTATGTCAAGCCTACCTGTCAACATATACGTTTGACAATTCCACCTATCAACACATTTGTATGTCAAGCCCACCTGTCAACACGACTATGTCAAACGTCCCAATCAAGTGAACTGAATATTCATCCCACCTGTCAACACAAGTGTATGTTAATCTCACCTGTCAACATATCTGTATGGTAATCAACCTTTAAGCACATCTCTACGTCAAGCACCATAGATGAACACACCACAGAGGAGCTCATATCACGAGTAACCCTGCGAACCATCAGTAGCAGACTGCAATACACACACAACAGACGAGCACACCACACGAGTGACCCTGCCAACCATCAGTAGCAGACTGCTATACACACACAACAGACGAGCACACCACACGAGTGACCCTGCCAACCATCAGTAGCAGACTGCTATACACACACAACAGACGAGCACACCACACGAGTGACCCTGCCACAGATCTCTAAGCTGCACGTGTTTCCGTTAGTGGCACAACTGTGAAAAAGTGGATACAGTGATCTGAAAAAAATACACTGAGTGAGAGAAGAATAATTAATTACTAATAAACATACATGAATAGTTGCATTCTTGAGGAGGGTGGATTGGTTGCCATAGGAGGTGGTGACGGAGACAGATGTGATGTTGTGAGCATCGTCCAGGATGATGGAGGCGAGATTAAAGCTGGCGTTCCCAATACACGGGCAATCCGTGAAGTTAACTCGATGTGTTTCAGCCACCTGACAAATACATTAATCTGACTTTATTATAAATAGTATTTTTAGTGTTACTTTAATAACCTTTCAATAATTTGTAACCCTCTGATTTTGCCTCACGTAATGTGACGTATAAAACGTTTACCATTTTATAAAGTAAAATTATCTGGGCATTATATAATAAGTGGAGGTAGACTATAGCTCTCGACCACTTGGTCAATAGATGCCTCTGGTAACCTGCTCTGCACAGGGAAAAAATTTACCGCTCTCCTTAGTAAGTATGTAAGCGTCCCTTAGTAAGTATGTAAGCGTCCCTTAGTAAGTATGTAAGCGTCCCTTAGTAAGTATGTAAGCGTCATGGAGGAAAGCCATACAAGAGACTCGCTCCCAGGATTCGTACTTATATTGTTGCTGTGTTCTTGATGACAAAATATCTGATGTATTGGCCAATGATGATGCACACTCTGACATTAGAGAAGGAGAGAATAACTCCCTCCCCAGGTACCCTTGGTGGACAGCGACCCACCTTACATATTGCTTAGTATAACGGCGGTCGTTGTCAACCAACTGTGCCCACTGGGTATTGGAAGGAATGGGAACAGAGGAAGAAAAATTACAGTAAATATTAATTGTTAGGGTTATGGGCCAGAAGAAAACGAGGTCATTTCTCTGCTGGGAAGTCCAACCACTTGGGCTGGACGGTAGAGCGACGGTCTCGTTTCATGCAGGTCGGAGTTCAATCCCCGACCGTCCAAATGGTTGGGCACCAATCCTTCCCTCCCGTCCCATCCCAAATCCTTATCCTGACCCTTTCCCAGTGCTATATAACCGTAATGGCTTGGCGCTTTCCCCTGAAAATTCCATTTCATTCTCTGCTGGGCACTGAGCTATGGAAAGGCTCCTCTTTATGTCATTGTGTCCTGAATGCCAAACCTTTCAACTTCTACAGTGGACGAAGGAATACAGAAGAGAGAGCTATGAAGGACTCGGAAAATAAGGTCTCTTCGCATCTTTAAAATCGAGCCCTCTGCTCTGTGAAAATTGCTATATTTGGTCGTGATGCAGCTTCACAGCTTTTCACAAACACCAAACCCAAGCTAACTGGGTTTTTGGATGGTGGCTGTTTCCTGGGTGATTAATCTTCTTGCAGCGTTAGCAACGAAAAGTTAATTTGTGTTACTAACAACAATGGCCTGATTCCCCGATCCTTCTGTTTTAATGTACTGAGGGCAGCTCTTGAGAAGAGATGCTAGATAACTTCGTGGATGTGACAAGTCAGAGACATGTTGGAGAATCTTGAGACTATGGATAGAATGCTGAGTGATAATGCTCTCCTTAATGATGTCATGAACTTCAATGAGTGCCAGAACTCTGTGGTTTTGGCACAGTTGGCCATGCTAACTGTATCTGTTAACATCTACCTTGCTGCAAATGCACTGATATTCGATGTGGATTGTGGCCACAAAGTAAGGAGCCACTGTACTTCAGATTGCCTGCAGTGTAAAACACACGCCAGTTGCTGACAAGGGGGAGGAGCACAAATAGAAAGTCACCTTCATGGGGCGTTGCAACTCTGGGAAATTTCCCACCATGTTGAATAAAATTTAATTAATTTCTATTAAATTAAATACACTTCAAAAACATATTTCTGTTGTTGTGTAGAATTCCTAAATGAATGGTAAGATAATGTTAGTAGAAACACGAAGAATTGCGATTCATTTTTCTACGTATTAAAGAAAATGTGACTTTTACCTCATCAATAATACTAAATTAACAAACATTCACGTATGTTTAAAACGTAATGCATCCAGTCTTGAGGGTTGCATTCACAATATCTTTTAAATTCACTATAAATTGTGAATAAATTATATATTGGGACACACGTGACGTGGTGCTGGTTTCCTTCGCATATAATCTAGATTACTATGGAATTCACTACTGATCGACCTCGTCAACAATAAAGAATAGGCCTTGTTCCATTTCTGACAGTGATAGGGAGTGGCCATTCCTATTTTACTAGTCTGATGCGGTTACAAGGTCTGAAGACCTGACCTGAGAGTTAAGCATTCCTGATAATAAATCTCACTAATTCGTGATTTAATAATTCAATAAGTTTTATGTACAAGGTTATAATGTAAACTGTCGGCAAGCTGGAGTCCAGACTACGAGCAAGATCGTGCTTGGTACCGTCCAGAGAGATGTGCTTGTTAAAACCCTGAGAGATGTGCTTGGTACCACCCAGAGGGATGTGCCAGGTACCACCCAGAGAGATGTGCTTGGTACCACCCAGAGGGATGTGCCAGGTACCACCCAGGGAGATGTGCTTGGTACCACCCAGAGGGATGTGCCAGGTACCACCCAGAGAGATGTGCTTGGTACCACCCAGAGGGATGTGCTTGGTACCATCCAGAGAGATGTGCTTGGTACCATCCAGAGAGATGTGCTTGGTACCATCCAGAGAGATGTGCTTGGTACCATCCAGAGAGATGTGCTTGGTACCATCCAGAGAGATGTGCTTGGTACCATCCAGAGAGATGTGCTTGGTACCATCCAGAGAGATGTGCTTGGTACCATCCAGAGAGATGTGCTTGGTACCACCCAGAGAGATGTGCTTGGTACCATCCAGAGAGATGTGCTTGGTACCATCCAGAGAGATGTGCTTGGTACCGTCCATAGAGATGTGCTTGGTACCGTCCAGAGAGATGTGCTTGGTACCATCCAGAGAGATGGTGAAGCTGATGAACACAGTCCACCGCTTTAAATAAAATAAACTTACAATTTAATTAAATAAATAATTAAAAAAATTGATAATTAATAACAAAAAATCAAATTAATATTGCTGCAAGTAAGTAAGTAATTATCAAAAGAAGGCACCAAACCGGGAAGGCTATGTAGCACCATCAAATGCGCAAAATAATCAGAGGGCGCTAAATATCACCAAGGATGCCAATACGAGAACAAAAACGCATAAGGCGAACGATATCAAAAGTATCCGAGTCACCAAGAATTCTATTGAGGGACAGGTGACCGCGAGGGGCGGTCGGAAAGCAAGACACACGCTCGTCCTGGAAGTCAGGACATTCAAGAAGGACATGCACGACCGTAAGAGGGACAATGCAACTAGGACAATAAGGAGCAGGGCGGCGCTCCATCAAGTGACCATGGGTTAAGCGAGTATGGCCAATACGCAACCTCGCCAGAGCTGTTTCCCACCGCCGGTTACGGTGGAAGGAGGACGGCCACGAGGAAACACAACATTTAAGAGTACGTAGCTTGTTACCAGTAACAGACAACCAAGAAGCCTGCCAACGGGTAAGGACTGAGGAATGGATAACCGGGTAAAAGTCGGAATACGGAATGCCTTTACGAGAGATGGGACAAGAGCGGACAGCTTCCTTGGCGGCAGCATCCGCACGCTCATTTAAAGACACACCAATATGGCTGGGAACCCAACAAAACTCAACCGACTTAAATTTACTGTGAACAAGAAACAGCCAATGCTGGATCTCGACAACTACTGGATGAACCGGATTAAAGGACCCGAGAGCCATGAGGGCACTACGAGAGTCAACAACAACTACAAAGGAAGACTGACAACGAGAAAGCAGGAGACGAAGAGCATAGAGAATAGCATAAAGTTCCGCTGTAAAGATGCTAGTCTCCGGAGGTAAGCGACACATATAAGTGCGATCAGGAAAAACAACAGAGTAGCCAACACCGTCCGCAGACTTAGACCCATCGGTGAAGAGAGAAACGGAGCAGGAGTGAGAAGAAAAGTGCTCAAGGAAAAGGCGATTTAGAACCATAGGAGGGGGTAAAAGCTTTAGTGATACGGGTCAAGGATGTACAAAACCGCGGACGAGGGACTCTCCACGGGGGCAAAAAAGGAACAACACGAGGAGAAACATTAGAAATACGAACGGAAAGAGAATCCTGTAGGCGAGATAACCGGACAGAAAGAGGGAGGTGGTGAAGAGGAACAGAAACCGCAGGAGGGGTAAAAGTTAAAGCACGACAGAGGCGAGAGGAAGGATGTTGTAAGGACCGCGCAAGATAGCGAAGACAGTAGCGATCACGGCGGTCCTGGAGAGACAGGAAGCCAGTGTCAACATACAAGCTAAGGACGGGAGTCGAACGAAAGGCACCAGAACTGAGGCGCAACCCAGTATGGTGCAAAGCATCAAGACGGCGAAGAGTAGAAGGAGAAGCAGACGAGTAAGCAGGGCAACCATAATCGAGCTTAGACAGGACGAGAGAGGAATGTAAAGCAAGGAGAGTGCGCCTATCTGCCCCCCAAGAAGTATGGGACAAGACCCGAAGGAGGGTAAGGGCCTTAGAGCACTCAACACGGAGGTAAGAGATATGGGGAGACCAAGACAAACGAGTGTCAAGGAATAACCCCAAAAGCTTCGCGGAATCTTTGTATTCAAGGGGATGACCATAAAGTGACAAAGAGGGACGAAGAACAACCCGTTTCCGCGTAAAAGTCATGGCACAAGTCTTAGAAGTAGAGAACTTGAAGCCATGATCGGTGGCCCAAGACGACACGGCATCAATTGCAAGTTGAAGCCGGCGCTGAAGGAGAGGCGAATCATCACCCTGACAGCAAAGGGTAAGATCATCGACATAGAGAGCGGAGAAGACACCAGAAGGAAGAGAGGAAAGAAGACCATTGAGGGCAACCAGAAAAAGAGTAGTGCTCAGAACACTACCCTGGGGCACACCTTCGTATTGCTGAAAAGAGGCAGAGAGAGCGGTACCAAGGCGCACCCGAAAGGAACGACGAGAGAGGAAGCTGCGGAGAAAGAGAGGGAGATGACCACGAAGGCCAAAAGAATGAAGTTGAGATAGAATATGATATCGCCAAGTGGTGTCGTAAGCCTTTTCCAGGTCAAAAAGGACGGCAACAACGGAGGTCTTCGCAGCAAAAGCAGTACGAATATAGACCTCCAAGTTCACCAGGACATCTGTCGTGCTGCGGCACTTGCGGAAACCAAATTGAGAAGGGGAGAGGAGGTGATGGTGTTCCAGGAGCCACATCAGACGAACGTTAACCATACGTTCAAAGAGTTTGCAGACACAACTTGTGAGAGCAATAGGGCGAAAGTCCTTAGGGGAAGTACCCAGAGACCCCGGTTTGCGAACAGGGAGGACAACGGCATCGAGCCAGTCCTCAGGGACTGACGACGACTCCCAGATCCGATTATACAGACTCAGTAAATACTGAGACGTGCACGGAGGGAGATGGCGAAGCATCTCATAATGAATACCATCGGAGCCCGCCGCCGTAGAACCGCAGAGGGCCAGGGCAGAACGAAGTTCAGAGAGAGAGAAGGGATCATTATAGGGAAGCTGAAGATGAGTGCAGAAATCTAAAGGACGAGACTCAAGGACAGGTTTACGAAGAAGGAAAGATTGGGGAAGATGAAGACCAGAGCTAACAGAAGAAAAGTGGGAACCCAGTACGGAAG